TAGCCTTGTGGAGGCGTTCGAGCGCTTCCCAAGCTTCCTGTGAGAGTTCCTCTGGTCGTCCTCTCTTTTGGCTGGACCTGGAAGAATTTGCGAATATTCCCCCAAGTGCTTCTTGCGTCTGACCCATCACGTCGTCGTCGTTGATCTCGAAGGAGCCCATGTTCGAGTGCGAGGGAGGAAGGCTCAGGCCGTGATGAGGCCCGAACAAAAGCCAGTTGCAGAGCAGCTGGACAGTACTCCACAACTCCCTCCGAGTCTAAGCAATGACGGCAGCAATCAAGTCGAGGGCTGACACAGCTGGGATACAAATCAATGGCTCTTGCACCCAAGGAGGCATGTGTTGTCCAAAGGTGTGACTCAATCTCATCTTGCTGTAATGAAATCTGACAGAGCTGACACTTGACATTGAGGCTCAAACTGGGGTCATGGGGTCAATGGTGGACCAGTAGGCGTCAAGCTCAGCATCTGGTTGCGGAGCCACCTGGCTTTGTTTGAGGTGGAACATAGTGTCATTGTTCACAGCCTCTGACAGGGGTGTAGCTTCAGTTGAGATCACTTGCAAAAATGCAATCTGGTTGAAGATGACACACTGATGACCTTTACGAATGATCTTGTTGCCACAGTAGCAAGGTCTCCCAGCAGCAGTGGCCTCATTCTGCATGTTGTGACTGCGGTCTGCTGCTTCACGAACAAGATCAGCATGGTCCTGGAGATGGTGCTGATGGAGAGATCCTGGTTTGACGCAATGCCTTCCACAAAGAGCGCAGACAGTCCGAAGGGCCTGCATATAGGCGGGCTTGGAAAGAATCTGCTGGGTCTCTGCATTCCTGGCCAAAATCCATGAGCTCAGGCCAAGTCTGGGGAATGTGAGTACCCATTCAATCCACTTCCATGACCTCGAGGATCGTGTACTGGAGCAAGGCCAGGAGGAGTGTCAGGTGGTCCACCAAGCTTTGTAGGCTCCCCCACTGGCTCTTCCGGTCCCTCGGCCTTCGCACTCGGCACAGATGTAAACGATGCCGAATCTCCATCTGTTTGGATTGAACGCTCTGCAGCATCCAGTCTCAATGCGCCTACGAAGAGCAAAGTGACTCCCTTGGGCACTTTGGCAGTGTGCACAGGTGGAGGTACCATCAGCACTATCACGGCCTGGATGAAAAGCATGAATAGATCGAAAGCTTTGGGCCGTGGTTGGTGTGTGACGTACTCGCTGGCCTGAGTCAGGAATCTGCCAGTCTTGTCAGGCTTGGGTGGCATGGGAGCAACTGGTTTCCCCTGAGCAACATCCTCAGCCAGGCGATCGGTTTGATTCAAGGCACGAATAATGGCTATCTGCCTGACCACGTGACAAGCATGAGCTTTCACAAGAGTTTTACCACAAGCTTGACATGGCTTGGTGTCACGAAGAGCATCAATGATCACAGGCGCCAGGTGCCTGGATTCCAACCACATTTCGTGGTGGGCATGGTTCAAATGCTCAAGTAGCGCTTTGCCGGTGAAGAAGTATTGCCAACACAAAACACAGTGTTCCCTCAGGATCCTGACATGATCTGGATGTTCAGCAGAGCAGCCCAAGCGTCGTTGCGGGCATATTCACGAAAGATCAATTGATCAGCCGGTGGTACCTGGTGAGCAAGATCACGATCATACATGGGACACCCGCCTTTAACAATGTGTCGCTTCAGGCCTCTCCAGTCTTGGAACTGGAAGGAACAGTGTCGACATTGTGGTCGTCCTTGAAGTGCATCACGAATTGGAGTGAATGCCAACGGAGATCGAGTGATCTTGTGCGTTACAACCATGCGCCTATTAAGTTGAGTCATATCATCGAAGAGCTGAGTGCAGTACGGACATGACAGTTGCAAGGCAAGTCGGTGAACCTGTGTCTGCGAAAAGACGGACAGAACTCGAGTTTGGGCTGCATGGGTTGGCAGGGTACGAAGAAAATCATTGTGCCTCAGTGCGGCTTGTTGATGTTCAAGGCGTGTGAAAAGGTGATTCCACTGCTCCTGAATGGTACACACTGGATCAGCAATACCAATTCTTCGAAAGAGATCACTATTACATTCATGAGTGACATGTCCCGGGGGTTGGCCTAGAATACGAAGGTCAGCATTACAGCGTGCAACAAGTTTGTGAAGCCCTTCCTGTGTGAGACCAGCTGCAGCAAGGCCGTGTGTGTAGGAGCTATAGATGCACGATTGCCAAACGCGGGCTCTCGTTTGGATGTTCACGGAATGGCGCTTGGCGAGCCAGGGTCGTAACCTATGAAAAGCAGCCTTACCTATTTGCATGCGATGAGCAAGTGTGAGCTTCTCAAACCAATGGTATGACAGTTTGCATCCAAGATAAACACGCGAATGAACAACCGGAAGGAGAGTTTCTCCATGTTGCCTCGGAATACGAACAAACATGCCTTCTTTGGTCTTGACAAAACTCTGCTTACTGAATCTGGCTGCTTGAGAGCCCTCAAGCCGGACAAGCATGACTGTTTTCTTGGGGTTGAACACTAGTTGATACTGCTCAAGAATGTCAAGTGTGTGGCCAATCTCACAAAGCGCTTGATGTGCATGATCACACGTGTTGATTTTCCAACGAAGAAGGAGATCATCAGCAAAACAAATCAGCTTGTGGATCAACTCAACTGTTGTAGATTAGTACCAAACACTTTGCAAAGTGCACGAAGAATGACTGTCATGAAAACATTCCACTCGAGCGGGCTTCCTTTGCAGCCTTGACGTACACCGCAGCTTGTGACAATCTCAGCAATCAAACCTCTGTGATTGAGGTCATATTTGGCGTCTTTGAGCCAGTTGACAAGTAACAGTGCAAGGGTGTTCGGGCGCCCACAGGTTACAAGACCCTCATAGAGACTCGACCGCGGGAGCCTGTCAAAAGCCTGAGTCAGGTCAAGCGAAAGCATCATGTTTCACACACCTCGCCTTTCGGTGTAGGCAAACGGCAGGGACAATGCTTCAGGTTGCGGAATTTCTGAGGAGGTGGCTCGAAATATGGCTTCAAAGTGAGAAACCAGGGCATTGAGCTCTTCCTGAGGCGACTGAGCCGTTCCAGTGGTTCGAAAGCGGATCTGCCGCCGTGGCTGCTTGGGTGTGAGTGTACGAATAGCCATGTACCATCTACGTGAATCATGTCGAACAGCGGCCTGTGTTGCTTCTTGGATGACTCGTTGAACTTTGGATTTACGTAGATCTTGACAGTACTTGCGTAGCCGAGTCCTAAGCAGATTAAACTTAGTCAAATGACTCCATGCGCGAAAGGCTTGAGATTGCATTGACTGACAGGGATGCTGAGAGTTTCGCGCCAGATGAAGGTGTCTCCACTTCAAGGCAACCAGGGACCTGGTGGTGGGTTGGCACCATGCAGGCTCTTGCTTTTCAGGGGTCTTACGAAAGTGTGCATTACAGGCTTGGACTACATTATTAGTGTGACTTGATGTGGGGGTACAAAGCACTGCGTTGCCTGCCTCAATTGCTGGTCAATTCTTTGATCCTGACGCATTCTTTGGACCGTGGCTTGACACAGGCGTGAACGAATCGTGGGTGGTTTGCTGTGCCAGGCCTTCCAATTCAATGGATGGTGGCCGCAATGCGATTGTGATCCGGGTACTCTCGGTGCTGATTCAAGGGAAAGCACCTGAGGCGTTTGGCTTGTCGAGACATCTGATCAAGTTGAGGACGACGTGCAAAAATGTAGTCAATGTTGGATTTACCAGCCGGGCTTATGTAACTAGGATACGAGTCATGAACCCGAACCGAAGCCAGCGAAAAACGATCGGCCACTGTCTTGAAGCTGTCACACTCTGGAAACTGGGCATCTGTGGCATGTCGACGGGTCGTAGGACCCAGCGTGCAGTTGAAGTCACCTGCAACAACCAGCAAGTTACGAAAGGGAAGCTTATTGAGCAAATCTTCCCATGCATTCCAGAAGCTCATACGTGCTTGAATAGGGTCAGGTCGAAAACGTGCTGTGTTGTTCGGATGTTGATAGCAGTTAACAAGACCAATCGTGATGTGATCAAGATTACACCTGACGTGTTGCAACCTGCCTTCAAGAACCGTGGCATGGCTAATGGAAGCGGATGAGCAGAACTGCATTCGAACAACTGTGAGGAGACCGTCGTGCGCTCCAGCCTGACTGGGCGTTGGGATGAGAGCGAAACCATGACTCTCCCACGGTTCAGCTAGACCCCATCGAGTGCCCTGAACGAAACATACATCGATCCTGCGCAATGAAAGCCAGGTCAGTAGTTCGTTGTACGAATCAGTTGAGAGGCCTCCACAATTCTGGATTGCAGGAGCCACAGGTGGCTGGGTGTGAACATGTCCACGGTAGATGCAGAAGCCAGTCTGGCGCAATCTCCTTTGGGCTCGGGCAAATGATCTTTTGACTGTGCGGCGTGAGGCCCTCAGTACAGTCCCTGAGGACGCTGCATGCCCTGTTCCATGTATTTCAGGGGTATCGAACGAAAGCGCAAAACGCGTCCCTTTCCGAGCAGTTCATGGACACTGCTCGACCCTCACCCCTCCCACTCCAAAGATCAAGTAAAAAATCTTCTGTTTGATGCTCAAGAAACTCATCTTCATGAAAAGCAAGCGTCGGAGTGAGCCCTGACTTGGGTCCGGGAAGGCACGTAGGTGCAGCAACAGCACTGATATCCCAGGCCAAAACATGGCATCAACGTCACGGCCGATCTCCGCTATTGGAGGGCTGCTTCCGCACCACTCGTGCCATAGGGGCTTCAAGGACGCTACTAGGGGCTCCTGGCCTTACTACTAGGAGCAAGGACGCTACTGGGGGCTCCTGGCATCGCTAATAGGAACAATGTTTGCTATTGGAAACAAGAAACAGAATTAGAATTGGAATCTAATTGCAGTAAATCCAATGTACAAGCAAATTTGAATTCCTTGTATTTTCCTGTTGAAGAAACCCCAATTCAGGTGCCCTATCTTTTGAGCCACCACCAGGTTAAGCAGGGTGTCTGCCTCGGCATGGATTCAAGTACCGATATCGCTTGCTGCCACAAGGACTCGTTGCCCAAGGCCACGATCGTCGTATTGTAGGCAATGATGCGTTGGGCAACTTTGGCCTCGGGAGTGTGAGACTCCGGTCAAATCTGAACGGTACCGGGTTAGAGCACACATCTTCAACTACTTGTCGCCATATTTTCAGATCCAACTTCCCGAGCTGTAGGGGCAAGGACGCTACTTGGGGCTCCTGGCATCGCTACTAGTAACAAGGACGCTACTAGGGGCTCCTGGCCTTACTACTAGGAACAATGTTTGCTATTAGGAACAAGAATTCAATAGAACTAGAATATCCACCTTATCTTAGCTTTACAGTATATGTTTCTTGGGGGCCACACCCGTCCTTTCGACCTTTCTGGGTGCCCAGTTTCGGCACCTTCCACTTGTGCTCTGGGCTGCCCTGAGCTCCACCCCAGCGGCCGCCAGCCCCGCCCATCATCTTTTGACACTCCTCCAAGCAAACGAGACAGGTGGCTTGCGCACAAAACCAGGCACAGCCAACCCAATGATTTTTTGTTTCACCAGTCTCATCACAAGACATCATAATTCAAAATAATCCAAAACAGTTCTGTGGCTACAGAACAGGGCAGACTTTACTACAGCCCAAATGTAAACAATACTTCGGTTTCGCCGTGTGCTAGAGCTTTAGGATGGGAATAGGAAACAACAAGCCCCTGTTGAGGCCGCCCAGTGTATCTTCCCGCCTCACCTGACCCTTGCCTGCGCGAGCAAGGGCAGCCAGCACAGCATTAAAGGCCACTGCGTCTAGCTGCAGGCGGCGGCGCCTCTGTGCCAGGGACCCTTTGCGCAACCTGGAAGAGTTAAAACAAAGTGGATCTCCCAAAATGCAGCCGATGGAACATCTATCAGCATCAAAGAAATGAACCATACAATTACCCAAAGCCTGAGGCTTGAACCCAGGGCCATTTCAAGCACTGCGCATGCTTCCGCATGATCCCGGATCCCAAGAACACCCTTAAACATTGTGTTACTAGGAACAAGAAGCCACTAGGGGCTCCTGGCCGTACTACTAGGAGCAAGGACGCTACTAGGGGCTCCTGGCATCGCTACAAGGAGCAAGAAACTACTAGGAGCAAAGCTCCTGACTTGAGATAATGTTGATGGGTGAAGCTTAGGGACAGACTTGGATTGACGCACTCTTGAAATCGCGGAGTGATCCAAAAGGCGTGTGCAAACCAGGGCGCTGTGCGACTGGTAGAAGTTGAAGGACAAGTTGCCACTGTTGGGCTTTGCCACAGGCACTGAGTATAGAAGTGTATGCCACAATGCCTGGGCAAAACACACACTTGCCGACACTTTCATCACACTGCCTCAGCATTGTAAACTAAGACCCTGCAAAGTAGCCAACTCCAGCCAATAACACAATAACGGCCCCTGACCTGTGGAACATGGTTGATGTGCAAGTGCCAACCTTGGCAAGGACAGTTTGCTCCAGAAATGATCGATGGGTTTTAGGCGTGCAGAGTGCAGTTGGTTCAAATGGGGTCCTGAAACTATCCAAGGTGTTGGTTGAGCCCTCTTGTCTTCCAATTTTGCACCCGCCAGCAGCTTTGTCTATGTCAGCCCATTCTTCAAGCGCGCCTCACTTCCTTACGAAATATTCCAGTAACTCCAAGCCACTAAGCTCGGCGGATTCCAGGAGGGCCACAGCTGCCTCCATCAATTTGACGTTCTGGGTTGGTGAGGGGATTGTGAAACAATTCTATCATCGCAAGCCTGCACCAATTCAAATGTATAGATTTGGCATTCAACCCATTTCAGCACTGAAACAGGCATCTAGCTCCAGTCGAAAGGCTTGCACAGCAAAGAATGAGCATGGAAGCAAACATGAATGCAAGCGAATTTGGAGGCCGTGACCTTTGAAGAGCCCTTTTATATCTTGTATACAGTATGTCCCTGTTGGGCACCAGGTAGTGGTTCTCCTTCTACCTGGTTACCAGCACACGCACAATCAACAATTTTCCTCAGCCTCCCATGCATGGCTCCTCTCATGGCCAAACACCACGCGGTTCAGCCGCTGCTTGGCAGATAAACTGCGGCACATCGACCTGGAGGAAGGACTGATCAGGCTAAAAAGATATTGACCAAAGAGACTTGGACGAGAAACTCAATTGGCTCTCAATGTACCCAAACTCCGAAGGCGTGTAGAGAAACTTGAAAAGGATGTTCTGTGATGATTGATTAGCCTCCTTCACAACGATCTTGTACGTTTTTGCCACCGGGTCGGAAACTGAACGTGTAGTCGCACGAGTTTTTTTCAATCGATATATTTGCACTTTTCCGACCCGGTGGCCATGGATATCAATGTTATGTAGAGACTATGATGATGATGATGATGATGATGATGATGAATTGTTGATGTGACGACAGAAGATTCTACGGGAGGTTCAGTGGGGGTTGGGGGGTGGGCTGGTTTTGTTCGCGTGATCAGTAAAATACGATGGTGATGAATTGTTGATGTGATGGCAAAACATCCTACCAAAAATTCAACAAAATAGAGCGAAGGAAGTAGCGAAGGATTCGGTCGTGGCAGCGGCACTTCATGCACACAGGGTCAAACAACCTGATGCACTGTCTCAGGATATGTAAAGACTGCGGCAAAAAGAGCACTAGTTGTTCGTTGCATTTCCTATGTGTTTTTACATTTTTCCCAAAAAAACGAGTCACGAAACAAGACGCCAAATTCAGGAAAAATTGGTCAATTTTACCGCAAAACACTGAATTTTGTAGGGAACACAGTCAGGCTCCGTGTTTTGATCACACCCAATGACATAAAACACGTTGGTCTTTACAGTGTTTTTGTGGCTTCACCATGTGCCCGAACGGCGCTTTGGATTGGTCTTTTGGAGCTTAAGTAGAAGTGTGTTTTTTCTACTTTTCATTTTTACAAAAAAATAGAACGGCCTTTAAAAAACAAAGTGCTCCAGAATACTTAATTTAGATTAAAAATAAACATGTAAAAACAAAAACAAAAACAAATGTCAACAACAATGTGAAAGAACCGGGAGAGCCAAAACCAAAAATGCGTTTCAAAGTCAACAAACAGCAGCCTAGAGCTGTAGTTCACAAAAGCTCACACCGCGAGGACATCGACCGGTCGCTAACGTTTCTTTCACAAGAGGCCAAGGCGCCTTCGGTAGGCGGGTACGTTGAACACGAGTCGAGGGAAGTGCTCAGAATCTTCTAGAATCTGGTTTCGAGTTCATCAGCCCCCAATAAATTATGGTTCCCTTGACTCCTCAGGTTGCTTTTCAACCTGTTCTCGGATTGGCGTCCTCCCTGGAGCGCATCCGACTCTTCCTCAGGCTCTAGGAGACCTGTTGCGGCCGACATCGAGATGGCCTCACACAACAAGGATGACGCTGCTTTCCTCCTCAAGCGTTTACTTCGCCACTAACGAAGCTGGGACTCGAACACCTTTCCGTATCCGAGCAACCAGCCATGCTGCGGTTTCTCTTGCCCAGACACATCGAAGCTGCTGTCAGCAATGAGGATGTTGCGAAGCGTGTTCTCCTCAACGCTGTGTATCTTGAGCTTCACTGGAAACGTTTTCAAGTGTCGAACAACGCCACCCGCTGCGTTGATGTGGCCAACAGCTGGTTCGGGAAAAGCTCCGGCCAGGATTGAAGCTGCTGCGGCACTGTCTGGACGGCCCTCGCGCGAAATCCAGTTCAAGCTGACGATCAGGCCCCTCAGCTGGGATTTCTCGGTCTCATTCAGTTTTGTCTTTGCGCCAAAACTTTGCGCTGCAGCTGGATGGGTTCCAGACGAGTGTAGATGGACTCGTCCATTGAAATCTCAAAACTGAAATCTTTCAATTGCCTGACACGGCGTCCAGCGTAGTTGCTTCCAGCTTCAGTCCTGAGGTCATCGACCTTCCCAAACTTCAAAACCTTTTCCAGCTCGGCCATCTCGGTCTGATGGAGCGCCGAGCCACCTTCAGCACTGTCGTCCACTTTCAACACCACAAATCCTTTAGTGCGGGCGCGCTGACTTGGGTCTTTGCTGCCCGGTGTGAGGATGCACCTGTCATAGCAATTGATGGTGTATCCCAACTGCTCTGTTGCAACTTTCAAGAACGACCGCCTCCACCAGCTTGGGCCTGACACAAGGAAAGCAACTGACCTTCTTGTTCATCACGAGGTTGCCGGACTGCAAATTTCTTTGTCCTTGAGGTTGGCAAGGCTTGGAGAAAGGCGGTCTTGACCTTGGTTGGCCATTTTCTGGGCGCTGCGAGCTGCAAACAACAGTGAAGAGTGGATTTGGGGGGGCCCGACCACACAAAGCCTGGACTTCGGGCTTTGCTGGCCCTGCTCCACCTCACAAATGCCCATATGTCCTTCTTGGATGGCTCGCCTTTTGTACTCTTCGATGGTTCCGGCGTCAATGTCTTTCGGTTTAGGATGAATCCAGAACATTCTCCCGGTTTACACAAGTCGCCACCATTGGCGCGGGCGGAATTGTTTTATCAGTTTTGCTTGCCTTGGGTCTATTAAATCTTCACTGCATCTAAGCAGCTCAACTGCCAACGTGTCAAAAACGAGCAGCAATTGAATTATGTGTGTTTTGTGTGTTGGTGCTTGATGACTTGTTCAGGATAGAGTCGCCTGAACTCCTCGCTTTCTTGCAGCGAGAATTCTGACAGCTCCATTGGAAATCAGGCTCAAGTTCTTTCTTGTGAGACTTCCGAACAACAGCACTTGGCCAAACGAGGCCTTGGACTTGGAGACATAGTGGCGTCTGCCCCTGTGACAGCTTCTGCATACGATGAGTGGAACCGCTTGCCCTTGCACTTCTTTTCTTTGCCCTCGATCGAACTTCCAGTTCGCTCCAACGAAGGGAAACTTGGTTCCAAAATGAAGCATGTCCTCATCTTGGTCGAAGTCGATCACTTCAAGAAAGTAGGAGCTTCTGGAAGTCGTGGGAGAGAGTAGCATTGGCACTCTGACGGGAGGTGTTTCCGGCACTTCGGAAAGCCGGTTGGTTGACGTCCGCCGAATCGGTCCAAAGGTCATCGACCCATCGGCGCTTTCGTCAACTTGCACTGTTCTTCCGGCTGCTTCATTGCCTGCCGGCGCTGATGCTGATGTTGGCGTTACTGGGATGGCTTCAGTCTTCAGTGATACCGTCCATGTGTTCTCAATGTTCGGGAACCTCAATGGCGCTTGCAAGCTCGCCCTGCTTTGGTTTGCGGATGCTCCTGGAGCCGTTGCGGGTTCTTCGGACGCCATGTCGACATCCTCTGGTTGGCGGGCGCTCTCGGTGTGGCTGGCCGGCGCTGATTCAGGAGGTCGGCAGGCGTCTGTTCACACGTTCGCAACACCTGTCAAATTCAAACTTCATCGCCTTCGAGGACTTCCTCCTCGGCTGGGCGCAGTCCTGGTACACAATTTGACCAGGCTGTCGAAATTTCTTCAGCATCTCCGACGACAGCTCCACCACTAGCTCAGCTCCCAGCTCTTCTTCTGGCGTAGCCAAGCGAACTTGTTCTCGGCTGACTTTCCAAACACGACCTCCCCTACACCGATTCTCGGGTCTCGTGGATTCTCAGGGTCTCGTGGAGATCCAAGTTGACCTGGAGCTCAAGTCTTCAGCAATGACGACTCCAGGCCCAGTCCACCCTTTGTAGGAAGGTGTGCCCCTGTAGACAATACACCCATGCCAACTTGGATGGGTTTCTGGTCTGAGGTGCGTGTTTGGGCTCTGTCTGAGTGAGCGTTTGACAGCGTCAATGTCCTGTCGCTTCACCCATTCCTTGGCTGCGCAGTCGCGAATCTCCCGCGCTCTTTCGATGGCATCAGGAGCAGAGGCTTCCACCAGCTCTTGGTTCAGAGCATCGGAGGTGAGGAGTGAAAAAGGAACTTTCAGGTTCTTTCCAAAAACTCCTTGCGTCGGTGAAAACCCGAATCTATCCATTCAGCGATTCCGCGCTGCGATCACTTCAGACAGCACCAGCGGAAGTTCATCTTTGCTTGCATTCGTCTCTTGGACGGTGGCTTTGATCTTTCCCTTTAGGATCCCACCAGCCTTTTCAGTCCTTGAGTTCTGCCAGCGACTTTGAGGATCTGCATAACGCAGCGCTACGCCGAGGCCTCCAACGGACTGTTGGAAGAGGTTGTTGTAGAATTCCTTTCCTCGGTCCATAACTAGGAGTTCTGGAGGACCGTACGGTTGGATCCAAAGGCGTAAGAAAGCGTTCAGCACTTCTTCAGCCGATTTGCCCCTGACAGCGCAAGCCTGCTGATAGTTGGCGCCCCAACAAAAAACGTTCAAAAGAATCACTGGCTCATTGAAGAGCTCTGCAAAGCAAAGGTCCAGGCCCACCACTTGGTTGAACTCCAGTGCTCTCATCAAATGGCCTGGTCTTGCTGGCGTTGGCCGAACTCTCGCTTCACAGGTGGGACATCGAAAATGATGTTTGGTCCACTGGATGATGTCACGACGCACCCCTGCATTTCTGAGTGCCCTGAGGAATATGTCTCGAGAATAATGTCCAATGTTTCTATGGACTCGATGTACTTCTCGACGAAGCTGTGAGGTCAAAATGAATTTGTCTTCGCCGAGTTTTTCAAAATCCTCCATCTTCTCTGGCTTCGCGCAATGCCTGGTTCAGCACTGAGATCTTTCAGCTCGCGGCGAACTGCCGCTACTGCATCATGCTCTTCAGGATCAGGAACCTCTGGAGCGTCGGGCTCAAGCTCGCCTTCTTCCATATCTCCACATCCTCCTCCACGGTTGCGGGGAAGCTGGAATGTGGCAATTTTCCAGGGTGTACACCCCAGGCTGACGCCGATGATGCTGGCCGGGTTGGTGCTGAAATCCGGGCGGTAAATCTACGCGCAGAAAAATTGCCACTGGAACGGCTTCTTTGGCTCTGGTAGGCCAAAGCGACCTCCTCCTCCAACTCCACCTGGTCCGCGGCAAAGTGAAAGACTGCAGAACCCATGCTCTTGCCCTGGTTGAACCACATGTGATGCGGCTCATCCAAAGAAGCAAGGACCTGCTTGTGGACTTTCATTCCTAAAGCTTCACGAATGCCATTGATGATGGCTATCACAAAGGAGGGTGTGTAGATCGCAGCTGTGGGTTGGGCGATCCACGCAGAAGCATCCCATGAGGATGGTTCTTTTGTTGGCCAGCTCAGGGACGTTGGAGATCAGAGCCGTGGGCTTCTTGACGAGTTGCCCTTTGAACGGTCCCTTCACTGCTGCAAGGTTGAAGCGGCAAAGGTCGAGGCGTAAGCGATAGGCTCTTCCAAAAGGTCCATCATTTTGGGAACGCTCCATGAAGTAGCGTCCTTTGGCTGTTTCAAGATGAAGCCACGTCCTTCAGACATTTGGAGGCGGCACAAAGACACACAAAAGCGAAGGTGCATCAGGCCTTCTTCCAGTTCTCTTGTCACATCGGCTGCGGGTCTCTTGAACGAAGACAGGTACCTCAGCCTTGAAAACACGGTGGGTGGCAAACATAAGATGATTCAGCTATCAATTGAAGCGCTTGTCGACGGTCTGCAGCTTTGGTGCAGTCCCATCCATTGGTGTGGATGCCTTGGGGCCTTGTCTTTTGGCTTCTGTGGTACATCTTGGAGGACTATAGATCTCCCCGAACTGTCGTTGACTCTTGTCCAGGGTCTTGGCCTCCCCTGCAAAATCAGTTCTCCACAGCTCTTGCACGCTAGGGTGAATTGGAAAATGAATTCACGCGACGCCGTGGCCTGAACGAATCTTGCGAGCTTTGGCGCGACTCTTCTTTCGCGGCGTTCGTGTGAAGAACACCGCTTGAAAATCCTGGCTTGCCCTTGGAGACAGATCCCCCCAGGCTCGAACCTTGGCCAGATGGCCTCCAACACCAATGGCATCACTTCCAGCGTCGATGGCCTTGTCGGCTTCCCAGCAGAGCCGCTCCCATCTCGACCCATACGAAGCTTGTCTTCATAGTGGGCACAAGTGTTTGGATCTTTTGCCCAACTCTTGCAGGCTTGGGAACGCGGAAGTCAAAAATGCCGTCCCCGATCTGCTTGGTCTTTGGCTTGGTCTCGCGGGGCTCGGCTGCGCTCTTGGCCTTGGGCTTTGAGGGCCCCTTGTTCATCAGATAGTCCATGGCCGCTTGCTTGGTGGCATGCACGATCATCGTGCCACGCGGTTCCAAACTTGGCTGCGCTGGTTCGACGGGGCCGCAATGGTCCCTCCTCCTGGTCGCCATTTGTTGGCGTTGCGCTTAAGGTGCACAATCGAAGGCTTGACCTTTGAGCCAGTCACAGAAAAATCCGAACTCTCTTCTTGCACGGGTGAACGTTCATTGGCACACAAGTCAAACATCTGACATGCTGCTTGACTCTTCTGATTCAGCTTCCCTTCAGCTTCCTCTGTTGAGGACCGAACCTGCAGTGGCTCCTCTTCGAAATCGTCCTCATTGGGCCATTCAGGATCAGGCTGATCCCTTGAAGCTCCGGTCACGAAGTTCTTGGTAACGCGAGCCACGAGAGCTTCTGGCCTATCCAAAGGTCGAAGGGCTGCAGCGGCTTGATCAAATGTCATCATTGCCTGGTACACGCAGCGTGCCCAAGAAGGATTCGACCTGCAATCTTTGATGGTAACTTCTCACCAATGTTGCTCTCCAACTCTTGTAAGGCCAGTTCTTTGGCAGCAATGTAAGTTGAAAAGGTGTCCGACTTTTGTCGTTCTCCAGCATAGAAAAAGTTCTCAACCGATGCTGGAGCCACAATGTACGGACCATACTTTTGCAAGATTGCTGACAACCCTGCTCCATAGCCCCGTGGGCTCGACAATGTGCCAATGTCAATGGCCTCACAAAGTCTGCTAGGCACTGATTGCCGGAAAGCTTTGGTCATTGTTGCCCAGCTCCCACATCGCCTGTCAGCGCTGCAGTCAAAGCCTTCAATGATGACCGCGTTGCTATCTCCTGAGGTGCTTTGCCAAAGATCTCGAAGGCGCTTCTCACTTGTGGGGTGACTGGAGGTGCCATAGCCATATTCAGCTGTTCGAACATAGCTCCACTCAATGAACCATACCCGGAACAACCATGCTGCTGTTGCACACCCGGAAAAACACTGCCAGTTCCCATTCCGGTTGTCAAAGGAACATTACATCCCTGTTTGGTAAAACCTCCGATCTGGCCCATGCATCGATCCTTGCGGATTCGGGGCGGGTTGCGAGAACTGACCATGAAACTGTGCACCAGGTGTAAAAACTGAGTGTATAGGGCTCAAACAAGGATGGCTCTGGTAGCCACTCCCAACAGCCTGGCCTGTCATTCCAAAAAGACCCTGCTGTGAAGCGTCTCCTTGCAGACCTGACTGTGACTGAGTCCCGCCGGGCGGCATGCTGAAGTCCTGCCCACTGCTACTCGTAGGTCCAAAAGACGTCGGTCTTGTAGGGGCACCTTGCAGCTTGGTAACAAGCACTTGCATAGCGACCCCAGGGATCTGAACCTGCAGGGGATCCATAGGAACCAATGCCAACCGGCAGGGAGCCAAGATCTCACGCAAGGCTCCGCTGCCACTGTCAACAAACAGCAGCCTAGAACTGTAGTTCACAAAAGCTCACACGAACATGAAACACCGCGAGGAAATCGAGCGGTCCCTAACGTTTCTTTCACAAGAGCCCAAGGCGCCTTCGGTAGGTGGGTACGTTGAACACGAGTCAAGGGAGGTGCTCAGAATCTTCTAGAATCTGGTTTCGAGTTCATCACACACAACTACACGTTCAGTTTCCGACCCGGACTGATGTTTTTGAGAACACAAACACCAACTCAGAACCCTCGATGACGGCATAGATCAGCAAACAGCAGCAGCACCTGGCACCCCAGGACCAGCGCCATGAGTGGCTGGCAGCTTGTCACTGGTGTTCCAAGAAGTAAGAAACAAAGCAAAGACATGGGCGGCCCAAGAATGCATGCGCCGTAGCATATATAACCTGCCATGACGGGAAAACTGTTCAGTGATTATTAACAAATGTGTATGGGTGTGTGTGCGTGTGTTTGTTTGTTTGCTTGCTTGCTTGCTTGCTTGCTTGCTTGCGTGTTTGTTTGTTTGTGTCCACCAAGTTTGGTAAATTGTATGTGGGCGCCGATCTCATCTGGAGCTCAGTCGACATAAGCTTCTACAATGAAGGTCCTTGCATCTTGAGGCAAAGTAGCAAATCGAGGCCACCACCATCAAACAAGTGATCCGTGGGCTGATTCCTACCGTGAAGGAAAAGGCACACCAGCACCGCAGCTGTGGCTGGTGTTTCTCAGCAAACCGGAACAAAACGGGATCTGGAGTAAGTTGAGAAGAATTGCAATGGCAAATGCTTGATAGCATTAGGCTTTGCTACTTTCACACGGCGGGTGTCTCATGCAAACCTATATTAATATTAATAAATATATATATTATATATATATATTTTGCAATTCTTTACACATGAAATGGTGACTCATGATCCACCAGCTCTTCATATTCCATTCCGGCCGGAAGAACCTTTATCTAACACCGACGAAAATTGTGAAATCGGGAAGAACCGACCATTCTCCTGTCTATATATATATATAAGCTTCCTTCGTTGATTAAATATATATATATAGTGGTAAACAATAAGTCCATAGTTCGCTGCCTGCTTTTCATGAGTGCCTTTGCGGCTTCTTGGACTTCGTAGCTAAGCCATGTCGATTTCACACATTTTCACCTATGTTATCACCAAGCTGCCCTCCGTCCGTGACACGATATGGGTATGAGAAATATGGGCCGCGATCGTCAAACGTAGTTCAAGTGCGGGACCTCTTGCTGGTTGTCCGGATGATTGCGCTTTTGCTAGTTCTGCATGCCTGCCCGCCCAAGCCTCTCGGTTTTTTTCTCTCCACCCTCACGTCTTCACATTGCTCTTACGCAAATGGTGGCAGCGAGGCCTTGTGACAACAGGTGCCGCAAAGGGGTAGGCTCATCATGCCACATATCAATTGTCTCAGGTACTCCCTGTTCTGGTGGATGACCCTCAAATAGTCTTTGTAGCTCACAATTACGACCCAACAATAATAAACTGTTTACGCACACGCCAGTACTTCCATGCGTTCTTGTTTGCTCTTCATGAGCTGGAGACGAAGTCATTCAATCAATCTATACCGACGGCGGTATACATCACAAGGTGGTTGGGTAGTTTTACGCAATCTCCCCTGAGGCTTGGGCAACGTCTCCTTCAGAACTTCAATGAACTTGCTCACGGCCTCAAAGCCAAGCGCCAATTTCAACAGTTGGCTCAACAGTTCGATAATTCTCAGAAGTCACAAGCATCATTCAATCAAGCTGTTCAAAGGACCACGAAGACCGCAAGGAGCCTTTGTGGCAAAGTGAGAATGGCAACTACAGCATGTTCCTTTCACGCATCTCTCTCTCTCTCTCAACAAATGACTGGCGCCTGCACATGAGCCTCCCGTGCACCAGGCTCAAGGTGTCGTAGCCCGGGCCTTGCAGTCCCAGCGGGTCCCCGAGCAGCAGCTAGCTCAAACACACTTGCACTCTGAGACCTCTTGTCACCGAAAACTGAACAACTGGTCGTTTTTGTGGAAAACTACATCACGAATTTCAGAGCACTTCCTGAATGAAGTTCAAGGTAGGTTGAGTCCTGGCTGCGCAGCCAAACTTATCTGGCCATTCGAACCCCAAACACAATGTGTAGCGTGTCGACATGTGTGCGTCTTCCTAGCCATTGCGTCACCGACCTGGCACAGAAGATTAAGGGCCAAAAGACAAAAAGGCAAGGACCTCAATTTAATCCGCCGGCACAAGAATAAGCTGCTGCCGGAAGAAAGGTTGAGCTTCACCACATACCAACACAAGGTACTCCCTCAAGGCAATCGCTCTGCGACCAAAGAAAATGCCATGGGGAAGTTATCTTGAGGACGCCCAGGCGACAGAACCGAAAATAAACAAAAGAGAAGGACAAAGAAACTATCGTGCACGGTTTCGACGGCAAAAAGATCCAGATAGAACCAAGAGTCATCTTCCGCTCCTATGGTGGGCTGTCGGCGGAAGCTACAATACGCTCAAGGACGAAAAATGTCAAGCCGAAAGCAGAAATGAAACTTGTCCTCGGGTGAAGTTGCTGACAAAGAGGACGTTCCACCAGGGCTGCAAGAGCTTGTGAAGGTGGACCCTAAAGAAGCTCTGAAAGAAAGGCAGAAGACATTGAATGCGGAACGCAAGAGCCCGAATCGCCTTACCAAAGTCAAGCACAGCATGGAAAAAAAGGAAACAAAATCCAAGAGCTGGAAGGACAAGGTGACCAAAGGTCTCAAACAAGAGGAGGAGAGATGTGGAGAGGCATTATTGCAGGAGTTGAAAGCACAGGAAAGGCAGAGAGACAGTAGAGATCAGGGAAATCAATTCCAAGAATGAGGAGGAGCAGCGATTGCATGAAACACAAATTCCATCCTCTGACGCCTTAAGCCTAAAGCCTTACACTGTGCAAACGGAACATGACACTGATCAGCAATTTCTCAAAAGGGTGGCTTGGTTGCAGAGATTCCAGAGATTCCTATCAATCCGCCAGAGCAAAAGGTCCATCCTATGAGGCCGAAGATGCAGGCTGCAGAAGAGAAAGTACAGAAGCTAAGAAGGGCACAAAGATCTCGATCGCCAAAGCCAAAGGCCGCAAAGATTGTGTCAGAGACCATGGAAAAAGACACAAGAAGAGAATGTCTAAAGCAAAGATTGGAAGGGTTACCGGAGGACTGTCAGGTCAAAGTCCTGAGCCTTTTGAATGTCAACTGATCAGCCTTTCCACTGGTAGCGAGTGTAGACCAAATGATCCAGGAAATGATCCAGGCAAATCCAAAGATTACCCAAGCGATTATTGCAAAGTTCTTGCTGCAATTTTGAGTCAGCACCAATGAATCCTGAAGTTCTGTCGAATGACGATAGTTGGGAACGCATCTATTTAGTACTCAATGCACGAGCTAGTCACGGGCGCACCGCCCTCAGTTAACAACAGGAAACACAGACTCCAAACAGCGAGCTCTTCTCGAACCCTGTCCAGTTGGTGTGTGCCCACAACCCTAACTGTAATTGAGGACTCTGAGTGCAGGGAGAGCCTCAGATTTTTCGGAATCCCCTGATGCCAAGGCCTCCATTGACCAGGACTTTACCTCACTAAGGCCATGGACGCCACCACGACCGTCTCATCGCTCAAGACCTCGCCCTCCTCCAGGGAAGTGCCTCCACAATTTCATGGACCACAACATTAGTACAAGTGGAAACCGGACCTTACTACTACTACTGCTACTACTACTACTACTACTACGACTACTACCACGACGACGACTCCTACCACTACCACTAGTACCACTACCACTACCACTACTACCACTACTACCACCACCACCACTACTACTACTACCACTATACTACTACTACCACTATACTACTACTACTACTACTACTACTACTACTACTACTACTACTACTA